CCAAGGTGCTCTGGATCTCTTGGGTGTCGATGGTGTTGCTGTGGGCGGCGTGACTTTTAGCAGGGCGTCGTTTCTTGCGAAGGGTATATTGTGATCGGGCCTCCGCAGTATCAGGCGTCGGGCAGGCGTGCGCGACCATGTTTGATGCTGGCAACGATGGGGATGATGCTTTGTGGTTGTGGCGACTAGGTGAAGATGACAAGAATGATGATGCTGATGATGATGGTGATCATGAGGCTCCTGATGATAACGGTGCTGTTGGTGATGATGATGATGATGGTGATGCTGGTGGCGGTAATGATGATGATGATGAGGATGGGGGCTGCTGGGGCGTGGCCTGTTGAGATCGAGTGGGGCGCGCAGCTCTGGGGGCGACTGCCCCCGTGGAGCACAGGTGAGGGGGCCCTCGGGAGACGGAGGAGGAGGGGGAGAAGGAGGAGGAGGGGGGGGCATGCATGATGATGAGGAGGAGGAGGAGGAAAATCATACGGAGGAGCAAGGGAAGGAGGAGGAGAAGCGAGGAAGGGGATGCGGAAGAGGAGGAGGAGGGGGGGGGGGGGGGCAGAGGAGGGGGGGCGAGGTGGAGGAGGAGGAGGAGGAGGGGGGGGGGGAGGAGGAGGAGGGGGAGGAGGAGGAGGAGGAGGAGGAGGAGGAAGGGGGAGAGAGGAGGAGGAGCGGCAGGATCAGCAACGCAGTCGGTCTGGCACAAGCGCATTTAATAACCCAGTGCACCATGCCACTTAAGAAGAAGCAGCGTTCCACTTGGGACAGCGAGCCGGCGACATGGGGCGCAGACTCGACAGATGAGGAAGCGCCTGCGCGGGGCGCATCTGGCCCCGAGCCCAGCGCCCTGTGGGGCGACGGCGGCAAACCTGAACAAGAGCTTGAGGCCCGGCAGTTTGAGCGCGGAGGGCAACTTCTTGAAGCTTGGCCAGGCCAGTATGCTAAGGGCACCAGGGGCGCGAAGGAGCCGTGCGCCTACTGCTGGCAGGCCCACCGCGCGGGGGCAAAGGGGCCGTTCCAGCGTTTCATGCTGGACCCACAGAGCTCGTCTGGTAATTTTCAAAAGAAGCTGATGTCCGCTTTCAAGTTCGCGCCCCAGGTTGTGAAGATGCCCGTCGACATGCCAATGCACATCGGCTCCAGCCGCAAGATCGCGCCAACCCTCGCGCGCCCGCCCCACGAGGCACTGGCAGCTGAGTTCGCGAAGAACCCAGCCATGATCGAGCAGGACTTCGCGGATGGCGCCGAGGAATGGAGTGACGCGTATAACGCGCACCCCTCTGTCGTGAGCGCGCGCGCGCGGTCTCGCAGCGCGCCCGCGCGCGCTGTGCATGGATGGCGTTAGGGGAAGCCCGTCACTGTCGGCAAGGCTGACAGTTTTTTCGGCGCCTTCATATATTCGCTCATTTCCCGCGAGAGGCATCCAGTAGCGTTTCTCCGCAAGTCTTTGCTTTGCCAGTGAGGGCGCAAGGGGTGGCGCGCATTCTTTCGGCTCTTCCAATGTGCGCACTGGCCTCCCACAGCGGCGATGGAGAGCCAGAGGCCAGCAGCGAGATGGGGCGGTTCACCCTGGGCAGAGACCGACCACTATTATACAGAGTTCCCAGAGGAACCGACGCGTCCATGCCCAGTCGCCCTCGTCCAAATCAAGGGCGATTGGGGCGAGTTCTGCAGCGCGTTCGGATGCCCCACGTGGGCGCCCAAGCACCGCCCCTGCATTTTCTGCCGAGCCACCAAAATTGAACTGCACTCGTTTGACTCAATTTCGCACGCAGGCCGCAGTTGGGGCACGTATGCCCCATCTGATTATGACAGCCAGCGCGCGGCGCGCGAGCACCATATATGTATAGATAGCGAAGAGAAGTGCTTGCAAGTAGTTAGCGCGCTCATGGGGGGGGGCAGAAAAATTGCGCCCAAGTGGGCGAATCGTCAAATGTAGGGTGCCACTCCTCGGCCTTGAGCGCATGGACCGATTGGGGCCCGGCGCTGGCCTGCCTGACATTTACGACCTCGAGCACGCCCCTATTCCTGCTGGCGGTTTGAATGTAGTTTTCTTGCGCCGAACTCTCGATGGGTCCACGCTGGCAGACCCCGTCATTCGGAGCAACCCACTTCTGGATGCGCGGCTCGTGGGTGCTCCGCGAGGCGTTCTCCGCATAGATATTTTACACACCTTATACTTAGGTGTGATGCACTGTTATGTTCAGGGCGTTGCCTGGCGAGTTGTGGCTGCCAATTCTTGGCGCGCTGCTGGCGCGAAAGACGAAATCATCAAGACTGCTTTCGCGTGTTCCTCCAGTCATATTTTGAAAAAAATGATACTCGGAAACTAATGTAGATAATTCATATCGCCTGAACCAGCTGACTGCAAACCTGCTCGGGAATGCCCCGAATGGGCCTTGCGCCACACAGGCTGCCGAAACTGGCCCTTAGGTGAAGTGGGCTGTCCGTCTCACACACGATTTCGCAATGGTTGGGCAGGGGCACCCGCGCGGTGCAGGCGCAACGCGGCTAGAGCATGTCGCCATTATAAAGCGCGAGCCACAGAAATGTAGCAAACGCAGTGCAAAGGATCTGATGACGACGTTTCGTCGCCACGTGGCACTTTTGAGAACTGCAGGTGTGGAATTCGCCCCCAAGCATCACCTTTGGCGTCACCTCGCCGCGCTGGCAAAGACGAACGGCAATCCCCGCTTTTACCCAACATTGTTGGATGAAAGTTTAAACGGCGTGGTGGCCACAATCGCCCGGGTGAGCCACCCAACGACATGGTTGGATGGGATATTCAGCAGGCTGCAGTTGATGCCAGTATATTGCACGAGCTGGTTCGCTAATGTTTAACGCATCATGCATGCAGCGCGCGCACCCAGACAATAAGTGCGCATATATAGCAACACATGGGATTGCATCTCTGTGCTCTCAGTTCCCGACAGACGGCGCTCGGAAGCCCCTGTCTGCATGCGTGCTAATGTCCGACACACGGCGCTCGGAAGCCACTGTCCCTGCATCCCATGGTGTGCTCTCAGTTCGACAGACGGCGCTCGGGAGTCAATGTCCGTGTGTCGCTGTGCCAATGTGATCATTTGATTATAGTGCCCCGTCAAAGTGCGCTCGGAAGACATGTCGTAGCCCCGGCTCGTAAAACACGACCGCCATCCATCCATGCCGTGATTGTCTGGCCTAGCGCAGCAATTGCCTCTCTGCAGAGCCGCGGGCTTGCCCCTGCGAGCCCAGACGGCCATGGCTGCAGGCAGCGACGAGGCAGAGGCTCGGTGACCATCTCCTTTCCCTCGCCCTCCGCTCGCCCACCTCCGCGCCGCGACCCGACAATGCAGGGCAGCCCGCGGGGCCGCGCATGTTTATCCAGCGGCTGATCACCACGGAGCTCGAGAATTACGGAGCGCACCCTGATAGACATCAGGACTGCGAGTTTGAGCCGAGAGAGCGAAGCGACGAGGAGGAAGATGGGAACAAGGAGCTAGAGGAAGGGAGGGGGGAGGAGAGGGAAGAAGAGAGGGGAGGAAGAGAACGACGAGAGAAAGGGGGAGAAGGAAGGAGGGGGGGCAGGAGGGACAGAGCGAGAGGAACGGAGAGAAGGAATATCGAGGGATAGCTCGAGGCGCACCGGCAGGAAAGCAGAGATATTCGGCTCCAGGACGGTAACTCACTGACGATCTTCCAGGAACTGGCCCCTCGACATTATCCATGCGCGAGGCGATATGCCACTCCCTCCCTCCATCCCTCGCGCCTCCTCCCATCCCCCCCCCCCCCAGACATCCTCATCGGCATCGTCCATCCTGTCGCCCCTCATCCTCTTCTATCCCCTTTCTCATCCTCTCCGAACTCCCCATCTCTCGCGCCTCTGTAGTCGTCTCCTCCTCCTCCTCCTCCTCCCGCTCCTCCTCCTTCCCCTTCCGCCTCCTCCTCCTCCCCCCCCTCCCCCCCCCCCCTTCCCCTCCCTCCCCGATGCTCCCGCGCCAGGCGAGGCGCGCAGCTCCTCGAGGTCTTCAGCGGCGCTGGCGGAGCGAGCAAAGCTGCGCGGGCGGCGCCGCTGGGGAAGGAAGATGAGGAGGAGGAGCAAGGATGAGGAATGATACCGAGGGCGAGGAACGATAGGACGAGGACTTGGAGGGGGATGAGAAGTGGGGCCGAAGGACGAGGATGAGGAATGCAATGAGGATGACGACAACTAAGAATTAGGAATGATGAGGACGAGACGGTCGGAGGACGACGCGCATGAGGAATGATGGTGGGGGGAATGAGGGGGGTGATACGAAGTGCGCAGGCGCTGTGCAAGGCCGTCGAGCACGACGCGGGTCGCAACGATCGCTGGGGGGACGTCGCGACCCCCGAGGGCCTACTGCTGCACCTTGGAGCCTGGCCTTTACCGCCCTCCCTCTGCCCCATATCAGTCGCCCCTCTTCCACCCTTCCCCCCCTCGTCAGCCCGCATCTCCAGGGCTGCGGCCATGTTGGCGCAAAATTCGTCCGGCAGTTCTACTGATGTTTCGGGCGCGGCCTGGTGGCATCATCTGGTTGCCGCCGCCTTCCTGGGGTGAGATCTGCGGTTGCAACCTGTTATGGCACGCTTGATCGACGATTGCACGCAGACGTCTGAGCATGATCAGACGTATGGTTGCGATCGTCGGTTAGGCGTGGCATCAAGCGTGCCAGATCAGCGCCCCGTCCCAGGTGATCTCGGCACCGTGCCTGGGCGGCTCGCGTTCATGGCGGGCGTGTGCGCCTTGATGATGTCGTCCGCGCGCTCTGCTGGCGCACGTTTGGTTCTGGGGCAGAAGATATGGGGCTGTCTGTGCAATGCTGTAAATGTCGCCCAATCCGTTCGCGAAGAAAACGGTCGACGCGTAACATCGCACGTGCGAGGTTCTCAGGGTTGGTCGAATCGATTCGATCGATATCGACTCCAGCGCCCCACGTGCCCGATCCCCCCCCCCCCTCAAACTCTCGAATGGCCCAGGCTACGGCTACTTCGCGCTGATGGTGAACGCGGAGATCGAGCAGTTGGTAGGGTCGGCTTTGGACGGCATCCCCATCGACGTGGACGCTGGCAGCGACATGGGGGGCATCGAGTCCGAGAGCTACCCGCAGCTGCTCAATGGGGACTGGCCGAGGAGTAATGTGAGCAGGTGCCCCTCTTCAGCCCCCTCGGACACCCCCTGTGTTTCGCGCGTCGCGGTCTGGGTTAGAGCAGCGGCTGCCCCCAGCAGCATGGGGGTAAACGCGATGCGCGAAGTTATATATATATATATATATATATATATATATATGGCCTGGAGGAGGGGGGGGGGGATCCGACTCCTTCCTCAGGCGATCGTCAAGATAGCGAGGGAAGCTGCGAACATCAGCATCGAGTAGGGGGTCAAACCACAAGCCTTGGAGTGTGGCCATCGCCCGTTCAGGTTGCATATTATTCGGGGGTGCCTAGGGGCGCGGGGGTTTCGCGTTTCCGCCATTGTGCGAGGGCGGGGTGGGAAGGGGGGGAGGGGGGGGGGGGCGCCATCCCCCCGTTGCAGGGGCTGCCAGGGAGAGTGAGGCATTATTAAACTTCGAGCTGGCAGTCCCCGCCCTAGTGCTCCCTCGTGGACCCCGATGTCGTTGGAATTGCCTCGGTGTGGCGGTTGAAAGTTCCCTGCGAGTTGTGCAGAATGCTTGTCGTTTGATATTAATCGAGTTGTTGCGAATGCCTATCGTGTGTTCTTGAATTGATCGATTTCGTATTGGTTTTTGGGGTCCTGCACTGGGCCATCCTTGACTGGGTCAGCATCTTGCTGGACTTGGTCATCCTTGACGGGGTGAACCACGTGCTGGACTGGGTCATCCTTGACGGGGTCAGCATCGTGCTGGACTGGGTCAGCATCTTGCTGGACTTGGTCAACATTGACGGGGTCAGCATCGCGCTGGACTGGGCCATCGCCATGCTGGACTGGGTCATCCTTGACGGGGTCAGCATCTTTCTGGACTGGGTCATCCTTGACTGGGTCAGCCTGCTGCTGGATTTCATGGTCATGAATTCCCATCACCACCGCCACCACCATAGGGGGGAGGAGCAGGAGGAGGAGGCGGGAGGGGAGGAGGAGGAGGCGGCGGAAGAGGAGAAGGAGGAGGAGGAGGACAGTTCCATGCACATCAGGACTTGGTCATCCTTGACTGGGCCGGCAACTTGCTGGGCTGGGCCATCAAGGCCCGAGCGGGGCCGCGGCGCCGCGGCGCCGTGGCGCGCGCAAGCTGGCGACCGAGACGCGTCCCGCATTCCAAATGGGGCCCGAGAGATGTGGTCGGAGGATCGCGCCGCATCGCCGACGCATCGGCGATGCGACTCGCGATGTGGAGCCAAGTTTCACCGGCGCCGACGGCGCCGATGCGTCGCCGACATCGCCGACGCATTAAACGATGCGGCGCGACCCTCCGACACGATCCGCGACCCCCATCTGGGATATATCGCCCGCCGCCCTCCCGGCAAAATGCGGGGCGGGATGGGCGCCTCTGCCGCCGCCACTGCGCGCTTTATATATCCCCTCCCTCCCTTCATCCTCCATTCGTTAATTCAGTCAGCCTCCATCCTATCCATTCCCCACTTCCCCCCCCGGGGGTGGAAGGGGGGGAATCATCTTCGCGACGCGGCGAGGCCGCAATCGCGCGAGATGCGTTCTAATCCGCCCTCTTCGGGCGCGGGCGCACCGTCTACAAGTCGGTGTCGTCGGAGAACAATGAACTGTGCGCAAACTGCGTCATTTGATGGTTGAGTCGTCAAGCATTTCCAAAACACCCCTTCCCCCTCTCCCCCCTCTCACCCTCTCCATCCCGCGGGCCATATAACCTATCGTTTACGTGGCGCCTCGAGGACGGTGGGCGGAGCATGGCTTCCTTGCCCCCTCATCCCCCCCCCCCTCGCCCTCCCTCGCGCCCCTCTTTCTCCGCTCCTTGATCCGAAGCTCGCGGTGGCATGCAGGAACCCTCGAACGAGGGGTCCTCGACATGTCCCGTTCCACCCCCCTCCCCTCGAGCGCAGCCCGCCGCGCCCCGCGCTCAGCCAACCCCGAGCGCTCCTCTCTTCCCCGAACCTGTGCTCGCACTGGCAGCGGCTATGGCCGCTGCTCTCGAAGCGGCGGCCAGCGCCGCCGCTGGCATCGTTTTCATGTGTCGCTCCAGCGGGCGCGGTGAGTTCGCTACGATGCTCGAGGATTTGGAGGCGGGAAGGGCGGATGCATTTTCCTAGCGCCTCGAGGGGCTGCAGCCCGGCTGCGGTGCCTCGATGCGCTAGGAAATTGTACCTGCGTTTCCCGCGTTTCGTCCGCTAGGAGCGTCAGAGGGCGTGGTCGGCGGAGGCGGTGCTGTGGAGGGGCGGTCTGGTGCTGGCGCTTCACGGTCGACGCGGCGGGGGCAGCTGGGGGGGCAAAACCGCGCCGATACCGCTACTCCACGGACCTCTCCCGAGGTGCGTTCTGAACAAGATTTCCAGGATAATCAAGCCGTGGCAACGCGCAGGGCCGATAGGTTTCCTCCCCCTGAACGGCGCGGCGGCGGGCGGCGGGGACAACTGGGGGAGCAAGCGGCGCCGATGCCGGTACTCCGCGCATCTCTCCCGAAGTGCGTTCTGGACAGGATTCAGGCAAATCCAGCCGTGGCAACTAAGCGGCATCGACACCTTTCCCCTCCCGGAACGGCGCGGCAGCGGACGACAGGGGCAACTGGGGGAGCAAAACGGTGCCGATATCGCTACCCCACTGACCTCATCCTGGTGCGTTCTGGCCAGGATTTCCAGACGAATAGAGCCGTGGTACCAAACGATATCGATGCCCTTTCCCCCCCTGAACGGCGCGGCAGCGGTGGCGGACGACCACGTCTGAGCGGAACCCGCCATGCTAGCCTGCATGATGAGTCGACGCCCGTCGGGCGAGCGAGGGGGTGGGCCGCCGTCCTCTCTCCTCCCCCTCCTTTCCTTTTCCTGCCCCCTCCCTCCTCCTCCTCGACTCGGGGAAACGCAGCGAAGCCGCGCGCCGCGACCCGCCCGCGACCCACCTGCGACCCACGCGCGCGTGTCCGACAATTTCGCAAAATCGATGCCCCTGGAACCTCGAACCGATGAACCATTTTAGGCCCCCGGGCCCAAAACGCAAAATGCATTATAGGCCCCCCGGCCCAAAACGCCGTCGGCATTTTAGGCCCCCGGGCCCAAAACGCAATTTACGTTTTAGGCCCCCCGGCCCAAAATCCAAACAACATATTTTAGCCCCCCCCCCCCAAACAAAAATATATAGGCCTCCCCCCAGCCGCGGGCGGACCTAAAATCGCAAACGCAAATTACCATCATAGGCCCCGGGCTTATGTTTTAGGCCCCCCTTGTAGGACGGGCCTAAATTTTAGGTCCGCTTACCCTCTGGGAAGTTCGACGTTCGGGTCGTCAGTGGCGCGCTGTGCCTCGACGTCGACTGGACTCGGCCGCGGCAGCTGCGCCCGGTTCGAAGCGGCGGAGCGAGCAGCGATCACCGCGCGGCAAAGGGCCACCCGAACAACCAGGCCCCCAAGAAACGCAAACAACAGTGGTGGGCCGTCTCCCCACAGTAGCCTTTGCTGCCCCCCCTCGTGGCATCGCACGCGCGGGGGGCAGGTGCGTGGAGGATGGTCGGTGGCAGCAGGCCCGTTGCCGCCCTGCAAGACGCGGCTTGCGAAAGGGATGCGCCCCTCGCCCCCCCCCCCGGGCGGAGGCGCAGGTGCCCCCCCAGGTGGCGCCTCCGGCGCTGGCACACTCAGTGCGAAAAGGAAGTATATACTCTGCGGCTGTTGGCTGCACCCCCTGTGCGAATGGAAGTGTGATCTGTGCGGCTGTTGGCTGCGCCCCCCATCACCATGAGATGGGGCGTGTCTCGCGGCGGTCTGCTGCGCCCCCCTCATGCGCTGATGTTCTCGGCGTGCAGCTGCTGTCAAGATGCTTGGATGCCCCATCATAGATGGGGTTCTCGCAGACGCACTCTGCTGGCTCACACTTTGCATCGGCATCGTACTCGCGGGAGTCAGGTGCGTAGAGGGGGGTTTCTGTTACTACTACTACCACTACCACTACCACTACTACTACTACTACTACTACTACTACTACTACTACTACTACTACTACTACTACTACTACTACTACTACTACTACTCCTACTACTACTTACTGCTACTACTACTTACTGCTACTACTACTACTACTACTACTACTACTACTACTACTACTACTACTACTACTACTACTAC